CCAGTAAAGCTCTAAACTTGTCTATATTGAGTGTTATCTGCAAGGTTTACTTTTAGCTTTTGGTGTTTTGCTAATCTTTCTATTTTATCATCATCCATGAATTTAACTCGGTAACATAATGTACAGGAATCTACAGTCCAAATAGTGCACATCTTTTAATACTCTCATTCCTATTTCTGCAGTACATGTCATGTTTTTCCCTCCTGCTTTTTTATCCTTGGCACGATAAGCTTGTAAAGTTTGCCAATATAAAAAACCATTGATCTAACTCCGATATCCATGAGTTCATCATGATTTTTGGCTTCGTAGCTGTTTTGTTCTGTGTTTATTAGGTAGTTTTCTGTCTGAATGCATTTATTACCTTGAAAAACCTTTTATGTGAAATTGGACAACTTCGGTTAAGCTGAAGATTTCTTTATTGCAGTAGAAAAAGGAGGACAGACACAGCTGGCAGCTCATTTACCATCTCAGGAACAGCAACAGGCTTTTATTTTTGGGGATGAGCAAGATTTCCATATAAAACATACATTTTTATGATTGGTTAGTAGCAGTATTATCCGGTACAAAATCAGTTTGCTGACCACCAAGGTTGACCACCAGTTAAGCAGCCAATGTCTGTTTCCAATTTATATAGCTAAATCAGACACAATATACAAAAACACTACCACTGTCTATGGGACCTTGGCTGTCTGGAGTACAAATCTTGTAGAATTTGCATATTTCGTAACATCATAACAAACAGGAACATCAAAACAAGCATGAATGCCTTCAACAGAAAAGTTAAATTACCATTGTCAAAAAATGTGATTATGTAGACTGATCTTTGCTGCTGAAAAGATAGGCTTTTTAAATTGTCTTTAAAAAGTGTGAATTGGATTGAGGTCTGTCATATGGCCTCTGGAATCTGGTTGTCAGTAACTCTGAAGCAGGGTCAGGGTCATCGTCTCTGGAGTGAAGATGGACTAGTCAACCATGATATGGACATATGAACCTTATCTGCTAGGGCCTGAGCTGGAGTTTGTGACTTACGGCAGCAAAGACTGTCACCATTCTCATGTGTAAACACTTATCCCTTACACTTCTCATCTTCTACAATTCTCTTAACAGTTTATACCTAATCCTGTGAGAGCATTGGGAATTGCTTAATTTTACAGATCTATTCAATGTCCATTCCAGTTACAATATTTGTATAAAATGCATTTATACTGTAATAATGCAATACAAAACTGAAGAAATCTTTTATAATCATCTTGTATTACAAGGTATCTGTTTAATCTAGTCAATACCAAAGAGAATTTATGCACTTGTTTCTCTTGCCCTCACCATAGACACCTCATATATCCTTTAGATATACACTGCTCCGAAATACAGATGAATCCATGATTACTGTCTAAGAATATGTATTCATTCTTTTCTGTAGGGAATTGAACAGTTTCAAACTGTATCAGTCTATATCTGTGCATGTAAAGGAGGAACCCGTATCTGCTCTTCTGGCATTCTTCCTCAGCAGTCTGTCTCTGAGCCCTGCTGTGTGGGTCGCACAGCTGCCATCCTGGCTACCTCACACGCTGCAGAAAAAGATATATTGAAGCAGACATTGTGAAATCTTTTATTTGCATGTGTTAATCATAGAGGCTAGATCTAAAACTGACAGCACAAAGGATGGGTTCCAAAGGAAACGGGCACTTCTGTGTGCTTTTATAAGTCCCAGTCCCAGGTGTGTGGATCTCCCTGCTGGTTCTCAGGAGGAGCAGGGATATTGAGGAACAAGGGATACAGTGGGTTAAATGTGTAATTTCATATAGTTCAATGTAAGGGTATATTAATGAAAACACTCTTAAGGGGTCTTTTCAGAAGTTATAGATGTGATGATGTGATCTAATCAATGGGAATAATGTTCATTCCAGTAAAAGTTATACTGAAGTACACTTTTATTATTAGTAATAAAAAAGTGAATTCTGACATTTGCATATGTTAATGTTACAGGTTGGATAAAATAATTAACAGCACAAATTTGGGTTAAAAAAGAAACAGGCACTTTTATTAGTCCCAGTCTCAGTCCCAGGTGTGGATCTCCCTCCTCTTCACCTCACACACCTGCTGACGAGACACAGTGCATTTAAATAGGAGGAGCTCAGCTTCAGCACAGACAGCTCGTCTGTCCTCGTCACCCTCTGGTTATTACATTGGAGCCACGTCTGCTCCACGATGTTAAAAACGTCACTAATGTAATGACCTGCAGAGACACAGAGAGATGAGGCTGAGAGATGAGACATTATTACACATCACAGTGACAAACCACCAAGGGACTTTTCATTGACTCTACAGGCAGTGTCAGTAGATTTCTCTACATCAGAATAGCATTGCATTGTTTTATGTACTGTATTTAGCTAGAGTGGTAGTTCTGTTGTGTTTGTAACATTAGTAAAGATTTAAAAATATATGTCCTCCTCACCCTCTGGTCATTACACTGGAGCCACATCTGCTCCGTGATGTTAAAAACATCACTGACCTACAGAGAGGCAAAGAAAGACATTAGGTGTTTCTAGTCAGCAGAACTTCATTTTCTTTAGAAAACACATTATATTGTGGGGATGACTAATTTAAACTGTTATAATTTCATGAGTCTGGATGTCTTGAGAGGACACACTGTTGTCCTTAATATAAATAAATTGGATTTTCTGAGGATAATGCTGATTCCTCTTAGAAAGACCAAGGTACTGTAGATCTGAACTAATGGCAGGTAATTCAAGAATGTTTAATTCCAAGTGGAGTGAACTGATCATAAGTTTGTGTTAGGAAGCAGATCACTGAACGGCCACTCATCAGAGAAAGGAACAAATGATCTGATGATCAGTTTAGGACTAAGAAAAGGACTTGAGGATTAGGAAGAATGTGATCTGACAGGAACGAGATTCTGCTCATCTATTGCTGTGGCCGTTTTCGGATATGTGTGAAGGTGTCAGGACTGTTAAGGAGATGTGGGCCAGAGGTGAATGGGGGGTTACCTGGTGATTCTCCCTGCTTGTCCTGAGGGGCTGTGGAAGGTCCTGACTGCAGGCTCTCCTGCAAGCTCATCTGCAGGGCTGCAGCCAGGAGCTCTTCTTCACTGAGCCCCTCTAACAACCTGTAGAGACAGCATTGAGAGTGTGAGCTCTGCTCTCAAGCAGACTGACAGGACAGGTGCTTTCTCCCCAGAGTTACAGCACACAAAGCTCTCCTTGACTACCTGCTCTCTGTCACTTGCCAGTGGTAATAACCGGCTAGTCTTCATGTACTCAGTCTGGAGTTTATGAACTGGGTTATAAATTTACTATAATTATAACAAGTTCCATAACCCAATAATGAGAGCTAAATGCAGGATACAAGCTTCAATACAGAGCAGTACCTTGTGCCTGGAGCACAAATACAATATTTTAAACAGCATCCACTATGATAAAAACTAAAAGATTACAGTACAGACTGTTGAAGTGAGAGCATGCAGTGGAAGAAACTGTGCAAGAATTGTGTTATTCTGCTACACCTTTTAGTGTCACATAATATGTCAGAGCTGGATTTTACACTCCACTGACACAGCTGCTCTGTGCTGCAGACAGTGTGACACTGTGACTGTTTCTGGGCCGAAGAGGGACTCACACTGTGGGCTCAGCTTTCCAGTCTCGAGCACGGGGAAGCTGGACACCACCACTGCAGTGGGCTTGAGTGGTCAAGCCACTGGGAATGCAGGATCAGCACTCTGCTCAGCAGAGGAAGGGGAAGAGGGACAGTGGGAATATCAGTGAAGAAGCACAATTCACTCTAATTGTATTAGACACTCTTGTGATGGCACCCTTGGGCGGTGTGCTGATGTATGGTGTGACAGAGACCAGTTGTCCTAAACATCTCTGACACTACTGCTCTCCACATCCTGGGCAAGATAAGTGAAATTATCTCTGGTTGACTGAAGAAACCTAGCTTCTGTTCCATACTACATACTACTATAGGTTGAAACTGAGTCACATGATAGTGTTACAAGCTGGGAATGAAGCCTAATGAAATTAAGAATGCTAACATTTTAATGAAAAACTTACTTTGTATTGTGTTTAAGCCATATAAACAGTTACTGAGTTTATATTTAAGAAATAGTCTTAAGAAGAAAACAATTTTAAATCTTGGTACAAATCAGGATGTAAGATAAAAATGCAACATAACAGCCTGAGGCTTTATCAGTTTCCACGCACATATTCTATGAAGATACAGTGAACTTCACTTGTGCTGAATCAATCTTATTTCATCTCTCTCCAATACAAAACCCATGTTCTCCTGCCCCTAAACCATGATGCCTGCCTCATGAGGCACATGTTAGAAAGCCCTGTGTTCGTCCCGTCGAGCGTCGAGACTGACTTTGAAGTAGAGGTCCAGGCAGTCCTGTATGGAGCCCAGTGGGAGGAGGTCCAGAGACATTGGACCTCCTCTGTCCTGGTGGCTTGAGTTCCACAGCATTCAGAGAACAGAGAGGCAGACGTGTGACCAGCCATTATTCTAAACACTTCCAATTTCCTTTCAAGGCCAAAATCAACTCTAATTACTAAGACTGACTTGTAGCTCTTTTCCTGAGAAACTGACCTGACACCATGCAGGTGTGTTTATGCTGTGGCTGAAACTCAAAATTTGCCACCACAGGACAGGTGTAAAATGGACGATTTTCACCCCCGTCTGGCTAGGCGCCCTGGGCCCTGAGCAGCCGTCGGGGCCAGGACAGATTCAGCCCCTGTCCCTCCTCCTTCAGCCGAGACAGGCAGTGGCTCAGGAACTCATGAGCATCCTGCAGTGAGAGCCGTGTGTTAGGGAGACGCCAGCTTTGCTGTGAAGGAGACCTACAGCCTACCTGAGCAGACAGAGGTCTTTCCTGTCGTGTGTTCATCAACTGTGTGTGCCAGCCCTCCACTACAGGATCCAATGTTGGTGAAGCCTAACAGTATAAAAGGGGTTTGGGAGACGAATTGCCCCCACAGGCAAATTACACAGACTGGTTAATCTGGCCAGAATATCTGTTGGAAGTGAGCTAAATCCAGATCACACTGGAGCCACCAGCTGCACAACAGCACTGCCCAGTAGAGCACTGTGTTTTCTTCAAAGCCTTGCCTGAAACTAGAATCAGGAAGCATTTAGATCAGTTTAATTCTGTGGATATTTTTTGAGGTTTTAGTAGTGAAATACATTCTGTGGATTCTTCAGGTGTGTTTCAATGTCTAATATATGTGACAGAGTGATAAATGTCTTAGTTTCGCAGCTCTCACTTGTTGCCTGTTTCCACTGAACTCCTCATAAGCAGCTGAGATGAATGTTTTAATGCATCTCAGCTGCTCCTCCTTCTGACTCAGGCTGCTCTGGTTCCTCCCTGCAAGCAGGTGAGCAAACGACCTGCAAGGAAGAGAACAGAGCTGTCTGGACACTCCTCAACACAGCAGAACAGAGGCGAGTCAGTGGACTAGAGGAGCACATCTCAGTATTGGCGAACAGGAGGAAAACTAAGACACATGATCTAAACAACAGGTTCAATTTACATCTTTGTTTTCCACTGGAAGTTATAATTTTCACAGTCAGGAGGACTTTTGTGACCACGCAAGTTGATTTTGTTCTCCAGTCCGACTCGGTCTCTTTAAGTTGCTTCCTCCTGCCCTGGCCTCCAGTACCTAAGCAGCCGAGTCTGGGGCATCGTGTCCCAGCTGTCCCTCCTTCAGGATGTAGTTGGAGAAGGACGGTAGGCCAGAGAGACACTGCAGGGCAGCGTTCATGTAGCAGCTGTTTCCCAGGTTGGGGAACCTGTGGACAGAAGGACAGGGTCAACTGAGGAAGTCCTGGGACAGGCTGGAGTCTGAGCAGCACTAAGGGGACCTGGAGCTGCCCTGTTCCTTCACTCCCTGCTGCAGCAGACACTGCAAAGCACTCTGGGCACTTCCTGTCATGTGTTCCTCATATTATTAAAGTATGGTTCTCACAGTTTGAAATATTGTCGGTTTTGAATAGTGGATATTAAAAAATGTGATCCTAGCTAGATCAG